ATCGATGAGTTTTGGGATAAGGAGATGTCACGAGTCAACGATGAGTTCCTCTTTGGCGCTTCTACTGGTCTGCTTGAGCACGGATACGGTGAGCGCAATGGCATCTCTGAAGGGCACGCCTATGTCGTCATGGAGGCTCGTACTCTAAAGTCTGGCCAGCGCTTGGTCAAGCTTCGCAATCCTTGGGGTAAGGTCCGCAAGGGTATTTGGGAGGGAGCTTGGAGTGATGGCTCCAAGGAGTGGACTACCGAGGTGCAGGAGGAGATGGACCACAAGTTCGGCAGCGACTCTGTTTTCTGGATTTCTTATGAGGATCTTATTCGGAAATATTCTCACTTCGACCGTACTCGACTCTTCCGCGATCGAGACTGGCGATGCTGCCAGCGCTGGATTGGCGTTGATGTTCCGTGGAAGGCGGCTTACCATGAGAAGTTCCACATCAAGTTGACCAAGGACTCGCCTCTTGTTCTGGTTCTTTCACAGCTTGACGGTCGGTATTTCAAGGGTCTTCATGGACAGTACTCCTTCCGTCTTCACTTCCGACTTCACTACGAGGACAGCCCCAATGCCGAGGACTACATTGTCCGGTCCCACGGCAACTATCTCATGGAGCGTTCAGTTTCTGTTGAGCTACCTGATCTCCCTGCCGGCAACTATGTCGTCTACCTCAAGGTCACTGGCGAGCGGGACTCCAACGCTCAATCTGTCGAGCAGGTCGTCAAGCGCGAGGCTGCCGACAGAACTGAGAATGAGAAGCTCGCTCAGGTTGGCTACGCTTATGATCTAGCCCACAGCAAGGCTTGGGACCACATGGACAAGGTCACCAAGCTTCGACAGAAAAAGGATCAGAAGAAGGCATCTGCCAGTCGTCAGAAGGAGCGTCGCCGCATGTGGGAGAAGCGCGCTACCAACCGCGACGTCACCAAGCAGCAGACCAAGAAGAACGCGGACAAGAGAAAGCGACGTCGCGCAGAGTGGGAGGCTGAGCAGAACCGTCTTGATGAGGAGTTCAACGCCAAGGTCAAGGCTGAGCGCGAGCAGATGAAGAAGGAGAGGCTTGCTAAGGCTGAGGCTGAGAAGGCTGCTGAAGCTGAAAAGAGGGCTCAAGAAGCTGATGATGAGGCTTTGAGACAGAAGACTGAGGAGATCAAGATTTCGGAAGACAAGGATGAGCCTGTCGTCGTTGATGAGCACCACAAGGATCATGACGACGCGGTTATTTCCGTCTCAACTGGATCGCCTCACTTGACTCCCAAGTCTATGGACTCTACAGCCGAGGGTGCTGAAGAGAAGCAGGAAGTTCCTCCAGTCAGCGGAGGACCTCCAGCTCCCATCGAGGAAGAAGAGCCTTTCCCTATCCGCCCTCGGCCTGCCTACGATTCTGCAGGCGAGTCATCCGACTCTCCCGTTGAAGACTGGGAAGCTCTCTACAGCAGCGACGACATGGCTCGCAAGCCTCGCCTTACACAAGCCAACCAAGCTGCCGCCCAAGACGACTACGACTCGGAGGAGGAAAAGATGCCAGAGCCCTGGAACGCGATCTGCATCGTCGGCGTGCGCGTGTACTCCAAGGACGAGAACCTGGAGCTGCGCACCGTCATGGAAGGCGGTGAGCTTCTAGAGGGCGGCATGGGCTCCAAGGGCGCCGCAGATCTCGACAACGCTCAGTCCAACGCGGGCGGTGGACGAGCCGACGACAAGGATGCTTCCAAGACGAAGCAGGATGACGACAGGTCGTATCCCCCCGTCATCCGCAAAGACGGGAAATACGTGGAAGATGAGAATACATCTGGAGAGAAGTATTCCTCTATCCAGAGCTATTTCCACATTGACTCTGCTTTTACGACGAGGGTCAATTCTCCAGCCCCGACACCTTATGAGCATGATCGGAGGTTGGAGTTCCCTGCTGCTAGCCGATAAGGCTTGAGCTTATGGAATTCTGTTTGAGAGCGTATTAGAGATTCTAGAATGATCATGACTCGAGGGTATACGGTATCGAGATGATATAGATTATAGGTTAATACTTGATATTTTGGGAATAGGATGAATGGAAGGATGATAGGCGCAGGTGTTGGGATTCTTTCAGGAATGATGACATGAACCGTTTTTGTTTAGCAGAGATATCAAGAATGTTTTGAACAAGGAATCACAATTACAAACAACTTCAGTTTCCTGAATGATACCATTTTGAGCTGATTGATGTGAGACTTGCGACAAAGTAACACAAATGGCGGCATCAGCCTCTCCACGTGCAAACAAACACAAACAGGAATGCAAATTCCACGTTCCAGGTCGCAAACAGTTTGGACTGCAGTCTGCAGGTCCTGAGACAGCCTGTGGCCATGCGCTAAACGTGCCTAGACGGGCCAGGTTAGTCCCTGGAAATCACGAGTCAGCTCCTGTAACCGAGCTTTTTTGGAGGCGTCAGCTGCCTAGACTGTGTGGAGCCTAGGCACCTTCATGGAAAGTGGGTGCGATAACGGAAGCTTAGCTTATCGCACCCCAAGCAAGTTCCGTCATCGTTCAAGCTCTCCCCCGTTTGGTCCGTATCTCAACTTTCTTCTTCCCTTTCATCTCGTGTAATTATTACCATTATTACTTTCTTTATCTTTCTTGTACCATCTATTATTATCGATCCCATCATGTAGTCATGGGTGAATACTAGTATCTAACATTACCTACCTATATCACATTCAACATGGCTTCTTCTTCTTCCAAAAGCTCTTTGCGCCGTAGTCATGGCGACTCATCCGGAGCCTCGTCTGGACATTCGCATCCACGATCAGCGACACAATCTCGACTTTCAACCGCGCCCTCTATCGATATCGACACTCTCGTTAACCACCTCCTCGTCGCGAAACGATCGCTTTCTTCCATGACTCTTGTTCTCCGTGCGAATGAGATCGCGAATGATGCTAGGCAGTCACATGATGATGTATCCATCCTAGCTGCGCAAGCGGGCTTCTTACGATCGTCTATACTGGATCAGACGGCGATTCTTGTGAGAACTAGGAGGAGCTTGCAGAGCACTTATGAGTGGGGAAAGAAGGACTTTCGAAAGCTGGTCAAGTCGATGGACTTGGTCGATGGGCAGCTTGATCATACTATGGAGATGCTGCGCGAGACTGGGGTTGAGAGTGTTTTTAGACCTCAGGGAGAAGAGAGACGAAGTCTTCTTGATTTTATTGATGAAGGGGGCGTCGATGGCGTGCGCGAGGCGATGAAGCAGAGTATCCAGGAGCTACAGGTAAGCTACCGAGCAAAAGGCATCGCCAGTCATGCGCTGACACCGACCAGGCTATTCAGCAATCTTTTGACGGAGATCTACTCCGTTTCGATAACGACATCCGGAACCTGAAGAAAGTGGTGGCCGATACGCCCAGCATACAGGATATACCACAGGGCAATAATCCATCGGCCGGCGAGATCCTCGAGAGTCTAGTCGACCATTCAGCCAACATGGCGCAGCTCCTCGCATCGCTGAACCATCACTTCGACATGTGCGTCACCGCGATCCGAACGACCGAAGGCGGCGTAGCTCTCGCTCGCCGTAGAGCTGCCGAGGCTACACAATACCAAGGAAATGACGGGGTCTCCATTTCGGGCGTCATCGCCGAACAAGAGTCTAATGTGTCCGACCTCGAACCCAAAACGGCGAAAGACCGAGCTGAGATGTTAAAAGTCGTCGTGCAGGACGCACGCGAGGTCGACGACGTGGTGCAGGAGATACAAGAGCGCCTCACGGCAATGGAGCAGGATTACACAGTGCTGCAGGAACAGCACGACATCTCAAAACAGGCCTACACGGGCATGCTACAGGCATACGCTATTTTGGGCGATATCGGCGATCGACTCGCAGACTACCTCGCGGCCGAGGGAGACTTTAAAACACGATGGGACATGGAAAAGGAGAGCGTCTTTGCCAAGTTGCAAGAGATGCAGCAGCTCAAAGACTTTTACGAGCGCTACGCAAGTGCGTACGATAGTCTGATTCTCGAAGTCGAGCGGCGTCGCGCGGTAGACGATCGCGTGCGCAGCATCTGGCGCAAAGCGCAAGAGAACGTGGACAAGCTCCTCGAGACAGACCGCGTGTCGCGCGAGGCGTTTCGGCAGGACGTGGGGGAGTTTCTGCCGACGGATCTGTGGGCGGGTATGCAGGGTTCTGCGAAGAAGTGGACTGTTGTGAAGGAGGGTGAGGATGAGGGAGATGGAGAGGTGCAGCCGTTGAGGAGGAGTGTTGTTGAGGCGGCGAAGGAGAGACTTGCGAGGGCGGGGGAGAGACGGGGAGTGAGATAGGAGTGATTGTTAGATATGTACGATTGGAATTGATAGCTGGGATGGCGTTTTGGATAGGGTGGTTATCTGGGATTGGGAGTAATACTCTACATATTGCTATTCTTGAAGTCGGGTTTATCTGACGACTGTGGCATCTTAACTAGGTAGCAAGGCAGCGCAATAACTCCTTATTTTCCTTGCTTGTATTTGTGTAGACGATAGGATCTCTTGATATCGACCCTGTTAGTTTCCAAACGTTGCATACTTGTGACGGCTCAACGGCAGCTAATATTAGTTGCTGCTACTTATAAGACGTTGTGTCGAGGCGTGTTGCTTTGATGCTAAACATATTATGATGCCCGGGTTATCTCCAACGAGCTATACACGGGCCGTGACGAGGCTAACTAGTCTATTTTTTATAGCTTCTGTGTAGATCCCGTAGACGACGGACACCAGTCTGTGGATGGTTGTCAACCACGGATATCAACTGCAATTCCTCATCATTTGTTGGCTTGAATGCAGGTTGTTATTGTGACAAAATAAATTAAGTGAGGGTTATGCTAAGATCTTAAAATGCTATGCAGTTGAGTTTCGTAAAGATCGTGATGATTTAAGATTCCTATACTCCATTCCATGTTGCTGTCATTATTCCGGCCGTTTCTCATTACACACAAAATAACCTAAATGAAACAATTTGCGCCCTTCACTTCAACTCTTCGTTTGGACTGTTGAAACAATCTCCAGAGCTACAGGCAGTATCTGAGTCAAGATCATCGGGCTTGATGGATGACAAGAACTCTGTCACTGAGCTCATGATGAAAACGTGCAAGTCCTTCTCGTCGGCAGAAACCACATCGGAGAAGATAGGCGATAGCTTGCGATAAACGTCTGAGGCGATGTCTGGGTTGATGGTGACAATGTTGCTGAGGACATCGGCGAGCATGTGCGTTGCTCGAGACATGGAGCGAGCTCCTGTTCCTCCTAGCGTGGTGACGGAGTCTTTGACTGTGGCTTGCAGTTCTTTTGTGATGATGTAGACATTGCTGAGAAGAGTTTGACTATCGTCTTGAGTAAGATCAAGAGTTGGACTCCTGTCCATGATGGAGACTGTTCGGGAGAGTGTTGCTCTGATGCTGTTCATCTTGCGAACGACTTTGTGCACAGCCTTATCCTTCGATAGTCTCTCAACCTTAGTTTCCTCCAAAACAGATTCTTTGCCGTCTGTTAGTAAATGGAGTGACAGGGGGTATACTCGACATACCGATATCATCACATCTCTCTTTGATCTTCTCAGCAACACGATCTACCAAGCTAACCAAGCTCATACCCTTGCGGCTGATCGAGCGCTTGACGCGAGAAGTGGGTCCTTTATTCACTGGAGCTACAGTGACGCCAATGCGCGGTGTAGCAAAGTCTGGTAGACGGCGAGCTGCAAGTGTCTCATCTCTGACGATGACTGTCTTGGACAGGGGCGCAGCCAAGACATCAGTGAAGAGCGCGGCTGTGAGGAAGAGTGTCAACTTCATGATGAACAAACTCCCGAAGAAGAAGAAAATTTTAACGAAAGATAAGGGGGATGAGGAGCAGAGCTGGGGAGTTCTTGGCATGGAGAGGACATCACAGCCTTATACTCTGGGGGAACACGCTTGGCTTGACTTGCATCTCATCAACGGTACATCATCAGCGCCGATCTTGTCCTTTTTCCGCAGGGGATGTAAAGCTTAACGCGGGAGGATCTGCAAGTTCCTGAGGTTAAACCTTAGATTGGGCTGTAGCATTCCCCCCCTGCGTCGAGGGGGAAAGAAAATACTGGGTGCTACTCATGCCAGAAACAGCAGGCTTTGAACTTGGTGTTTTTCTTTCCGGCCAAGCCTGCCCCCTCGTTCAGAAAAGCTTGGTGTTAGATGAAGAGTTTGGTGTAACCTGGTCTTGGGCATATTGGTATTGGGGGAGAAGATGGCGATCGCTGCGGGCGATTATCATGGCTGAAGATCTTGTTTCTGTTGGGTATGGGATGAGTCTTACAAGAGAGCATCAAAGCAGTATCAAACATCAATAAATAATTATTACCAGTGATTATCTACTGTATCACTATATCTTTTTGTCTTTAGAAACTCTGCTGAAGATGATGACCGCAGTGTCAGCGAGTTCATCCCCCTCCCCCCCGAAAGCATCAGAGCTGAGCCCAATCTCCTCTCCTCTCTACTATGCCAAGTCCCATCAATCCCTCACCACCAGTGACAGATAACCGTCTTTTCACATTCCCATGCCCACCCCAAATCGCAGATCTGCAGAACCTGAACTACCGGATTAGTTCCCACCCAACTCCGATAAGCTTCTCCCTGAGACAGCCCACATTCCTTCCCCCTTTTCCCCTACGCACCTATGATCGTTTCAGGCATTTTGTGTTCGGCCGCCATGGTTTAAAATTGAATCATAGATCTCGGTTGTCTCGGCAGGAAGTGACCTGTCAATCAGTTGATCAAGATGAGGCTTGAGTTAAATGGGCTGCTTTTGGTATGGTGGGCGGAAGGGTGGGACGGGAAGTGAGGAGCCACCCATCTGTAGTTTACAAAAGAGGTTTAGATGTCTTGGTTGACGGGAATTGGGTAGAGCTTAACTGTGACGGGAATATGGGCGAGGCG